TATTTACAGGACAACATTCGCTGAGAGCTATGCTACACGATGTACCATCGTGTCCTTTATTCGAACACTGTATTTAACTTGCTTTGATTATTTATATATAATATAACAGTATTAACGGTTATTTTGATTATTATTATATATATTATTTATTTCCCTCTCAAGGCGCACCATCATAATTACAGCTATTACAGTCGCATCATTGTTTTGGTGGATAATAAATGTATTTTATACTTATTTATAGACTTTAATTCTGGTCAACCCAACCAATCCGGAAATCAAGACTGTGTTGAAATAAGAGAGCAGTATGGTGGCAGATGGAACGATCTTAGTTGCAATGATTATGAGCGTTACGTGTGCAAAATATTACGTAGGACGTCACTTTTTAACAAATTTTATTTTAGTTTACAAAAACATTACCAATAATAATGATGATCATAATAACAATGATGCTGATGATGATAATAATAATGACAATAATAATAATGATAACAATGATAGTAATAATAGGCCTAATATAATTAGGCCTATTATTATTATCATTATTATCTAATATAACTAATCAAAATAATCACAATATCGACAATAATGAAACTAATGATGATGATAACGATTACCATAATAAGGCAAGTTTTTACTACTCATCTCGGATAGGCCTATTACACATTGTTAGCTTGTAGTGTTATTTTAATCACTGCCCTACCTTGTACAAGTCACCATAATATAGGCCTACTACAGTATTGATTTTTGAGTCTGGTGACACTTTTTTGCATCAATATGATAAGCATTGTTTTGTAAAAACGAGCGGTATCATAAAGGGGTGGGGATGGCCGCTAAAATTTTCTACACTAGCACTAAATATTTGTGGAGGAAAAACGAAAATCTACTAAAATATTCAGCTTATATTCTCCGAGGAGAACCAATGTTCCGAGAAGTATGCACCATATCTGGGGTGAGTAAATATTTAAAGTGGAACTGTTTAGATGTACAAAAATGGCACCTTCAGACTAAAATTCTTTAAAAGTGCAGTATTCCAAAAACAATAATAGGCTTATTCCAACGAGGAGCCAGAGTTCCTCGACGAGGTTATGACTCCTTTCCGAATGCCCAGATAGATAATAATTGCATTATAGGCCTATCACATAATTTTCCGACCATTACCATCCCAATGTCAATACTCAACGTTAACGTCACCAGCAAAAAGCCACGCTACTACAAAAATTTAATTAGATCATCAATTTTCAATTAATTTCGAAAATTATTGTAAATTACAACTTTGTGAGATTTAGTAAACTGTATTTTCCCATGCGAAATTCGTCTACATTTCGTTTGCAAATTGGCTTGATACTGGCCAAATCGGCCAAAGTCTATTTTTTTAAAAATTTATGTGGCAAGCTGTATCAAATTTGTTGGCAGGCCGCAGCTGGCCCACAGGAAGCGGGCTGAAACTGGGGTATATGTGTTGAGAAAAAAAAAATAGGCCTATATTTTCTTCGTATGTCTTGCGTATTTTCTATGCATACTTTGTTATGATAAAGTTCAAATCAACTTTTGTACCCCTCCCCCGATTCTATTTATTTAGTTAATTGAATATTGGTGATATACGTGAAGAAAATGTTTATAATTAGAACGGCCCTAACCCAAAAATAAGGTACATGCACTTAACATTATCAAAGTTTATAGAAGTGAAACGAAATATGTATAAGTATATATTTCAAAATCAGCTTTAGATGATGAAGACCCACAACTTGAAGGATGTCCAGAAGACTTAACAATTGGTACCAACCAGGGAAAAAATTACGTTGATGCCAGATGGACGGAACCAATAGCATCCGATAAT